CTGCTGCAGCTGGTGGTGAGAAGGAGAACGAAGATGAGAAGAAGGAGGGGGATTTGATGAGGGATTCTGAGGAAGAGGGTTTTGGAACACCAGAGGGAGTGGCGACATGGCAGAGCAACAGCAGGGTGAGGATGAAGTGGAAGAATTGGAATAGAGGGGGAGGAAGAGATTGTCATGGGAGCAGAGGACGAGGAGGGAGAGGAGGAAGAGGATGAGGAAGAGGCAGGCGTAGAGCGAGGAGAAGGGGGCAGAGGTGGAGGAGAGTGGTGGTGGCAAGTGGGGATGAAGGGCACGCGGCATGAGGAGGGATGGTTGCACTGGGGCTGTTTCCACTGCAGGGGCAACAGGGGCAACAGGGTCAATAGGAGCAAGTGCATCAGGCGAGGCAGCAGAGGTGGAGCCATCAGAGAAGGACAACATGATGTTGGAGGCAGCAGCACCAGTTGGTGATGGTGCCCCTGCTCCAACACCCGTGGCTGCCACTGCTGCTCTTCCCGTGGGCGCAGGAGGAAGGGTGGGAGGGGCAAGGGCAGGGGCAGGGGCAGGGGCAAGGGGAGGAGAAGGGAGAGGGCCGGAGCAGGTGCAGGGGTAGGGGTAGGAAAAGGGGAAAGTGGGAAGGTGTTTGGGATTGGGCACATGCGTGACTTGGATGGGCCACCTGTGTGGCTGGCTGCTATGGTGCTGGTCCTCGCTCATGGGTTGAGGAAGCTAGGCAGGGAGGAAAGTGAGAGATGGAGAGAGGGAGAGGGAGAGGGAAGAGATCGAGAGGGAGCGAGAGTGGGGGAGAGAGGGAAGGGGCAGCTAAGAGCCGGTATGCAGCTGGCGTGGTTGAACTAGAAGGGAAGAGGGGCAGCGTTGCCAGTTGGTTGGCACCTTAAACCTTTGGAGAGAAGTCTTGTGTTTGTGCTGCATGATCCATGTCTAACTCAAAAACAGGAACACCGTGGCGTAGCAGACTGGGCCAGGCAGGGAGGTCCGGGGCCGGGCCAAAGCGGCGACGAAAGAGGTCGTCGAGGCGGCGGAAGCAGCAGGCGGTCCGGTGCAGGCGGCGGCACACAGTGCCATGGAGGGGGCCGATCTGGAGCTGGTACTGGCAGCTCACAACACCGAAGCTGCCGGTAGACGCCCAGCTGCGAGGGCCGCCACCACGGCCACCACCTCCGAAGGCTCCTGACCACCCCGACGGGAGGCGGGTCCACGGCTGCTGCGGCTGCTGCTGCGGCTGCTGCGACTGCTGGTGCTGCGTCGGCTGCGGCTGCTGCTGCTCCTGGACACCAGGCCCAACACCCTCGTCGGAACCACTGTCCCCGCCACCACCACTACCACCACCAGCACCACCACCACGCCCTCCCTTGGGGCCACGACGGCCCCGACGTTGTCGCTGCTGCGGGGACACTGCAGCTGCGGTCTCAGCGGCAGGGGCAGCCGTGGCGACTGCGGTGGAAACGTCAGCGTACGTGCACTGGGAGGGAGCACAACCCTGAAAGATAGGGACTGCCACAACACCGCTCGACTGAGCGATAGTGCGCTGGCAAGTCTCTATCTCAGACAGGGCAGTAACAAAGGCGGTCAGGGTGAGGTCACCAGGGTGCTGGCTTAGGAAGTGGTCGCGGGCAGTGGCTAAGCGGTCCGGCAGGCGCATGGCAATAAGGTACAGGGTAGCGCAGAACGGTGGGGGAAAGGCAGTGAGCAGGGTGGCAGTGCTAGCGGCGCGGTAGCTAGTCTCTAGTGCACAGAGGTGAGTGGCGAGGTCAGCAACATTGGGGAAAGCGGAAAGATCGGGGAATAGCATGGGGAGGATTAGGCGGGCAGCAGAGGCGAAGGCAGGTGTGGAGTAGCGTTCAACTAAGTCATCTAGGAAATCCTTGGCGTTCGCGACAGCAGTGAAGCGCGGACGCTCAGATAGAGGGAGAGCATGACTAATGGTGAGCTGCGTTACGGCATCACGGGAATCCCAGACAACAGGAGCGAGCGCAGCTGCAGAAAAGGCCTCACGCTCAACAATGGTGGGGTCAGCAGTGAGGGGATCAGGCGCGGAGGGGCGGGGAAGCAAACCATCAACATGCACAGCCAGGGAGCGCCCATCCTGGCGCTGACCTGTCAGGTGACGGCGAAGGTCGACAAGCCAAGCCACGCGTGCCCCTCCGCGTCCAGGCGGAGTACAGCGTCTGCCATCGTGCAGCCTTAGCGGCACATCTCCACGGCGGCACTGTGACACGTCGTCGCAGCGGCTCAGCGGCATAGTGACACGGCGGCACAGCGGCACAGCGACACGGCGGCATAGCGCACGGCGGCACGGCAGCGTGGCGGACGGACTCTCCGGTGGGAAGACCGGGCGGAAGGCTGAGCAGGGCGCCTAGGGCATGGGGCGAGCAGCATACCGGTGAGGCGCGATGGGACAGCGGGACTCGAAGGGGGCGGCGGGCGCCAAGGGCCGGCGGAGCGCTAGGGCCGGCGCGCACGCGAGGGGCCGGTGGGGTACGCGAGGGGCCGGCGGGGTACGCGAGGGGGGGGGGGGGGGGATGGCAGGGTGCGCGAGGGGCCGGCGAGGACGCGAGGGGCCGGCGGGCGTGAAAGGGCCGGCAAGGCGTGCGAGGGGTCGGCAAGGCACGCGAGGGGCCGGCGGGCATGCGAGGGGCCGGTGGGCATGCAAGGGGCCGGCGGGGTACGCGCGGGGGGGGGGGGGGGAGGGAGGGGAGAGGGAGGGCCGGCTGGGTGCGCGAGGGGCCAGCGGGGTACGCGAGGGGCCGGCGAGCAAGCGAGGGGCCGACGGGGTGCGCGAGGGGCCGGCGAGGCGCTAAGGGCCGGCGGGGCGCTAAGGGCCGGCAAGGCGCGCTAGGGCCAGTGGGGTACGCGAGGAACCGGCGCAGCGTGAAAGGGGCCGGCGGGGTACGTAAGGGGCAGGCATGGCGTTAGGGGACCGGCGGGGCGGTGGGGGCAGGCGGGGTGCGCTAAGGCTAGGGTACGACGGGGCGGTAGGCTAGGGCTATGGCGGAAGCAGGTAGGCGGACCTAACCTAACGATGATACCATATTAGAATAGCAGAATAAACTAGAACAAGTGAGTACAGGGGAGAAATAAGGTTGGAGTTGTACCCTCTAAGAATACAAACCTATCTAGTCTATAACTTCTACATATAAATATATGTATAAGTTGACGAGTGGATATATGGAGCCTAACCCTCCTGACGACATCCCTTTCCTTCTTGTGCCAATGGTTAGGACTGGTGACTTTATGACTTGGTATCAAAGCCATCCGGAGTTCAATTCCTGGTGTACACGCTATCCCAGCGGCGGGGTGTGTCGTGGCACTGGGATAACCATGTCGATCCACTCTCTATCTCTAGGGAGGGTACTGGGGAGGCTTTCCTCGGGGAAGGTGGATATATGCAGCCTAACCCTCCTGATGACATCCCTTCTTGTCCCAGTGGTTAGGACTGGTGACTTTATGACTGTGGACTGTATGGAGGCGAGTCTCAGAATAGCGCATTGGATTAGACAAGGGAATACAGAGTGTTCTTATGAGTGTGTGTTGTACTCTCAAAGGACATGCACCTATCTAGCCTATAACAACAAATATATAAGTTGACACACCCCTTAGGCTAGACAAGGGGCAGTGCCTAGCTAGCAAGAGACACGCAGCCAGGGCTGATTTTATAAGTCCATTTTAGTATGATTGTCTGAAATTTCAGACCAATTTTTTTGCCGATCCTGATTTTTCAGACTTGCCAATTTCGGAATGCTGAACCCTTCAAAGTTACCATACTCACCCGGATAGACGCCCTTAGGGCCGTGTTGGGCTGATAATAGCCCTAGGATCTTTTCAGAATGCTAAGTCCTTATAACAAAGTGCTTGATAGCACAGCGGAAGTCTTGAGTTGAACACTTGTACTGGTATATGAGAACAAGTGTGTTATAATTATAACTCGAAGTATAGCGCAGAATACTATAAGGGGAACATGATTACAGATTTATGATAGAAACGAGGCCTAGGCAATATATAGGGTGATTGACCAGGGTTGAATGTCGAGGGTTGGACCAGACAAGGGCTCGATAGTCCCGAGGGTGACGAGGTCAAAATGGGTTCGGGGCGACTCGGGATAAGGTTGGGGCCGACGAGGTCGGCGGGGGCTGGTTTGGTGCGTGACTTGAAGGCCGAGCCTGCGGACGCAAACTGTTCGCGTGTACTTGCTGTGGCGAGTCCTAGTAAGGAATCGTAATTCCTTACAATCTCCCACCTTCTAAAGGAAGGCACTCCCTTTATCGAGGCCGAACAGCCATTAAGAGTAATCCCCAATGTGAATGTAAGTCTTCAGCCCTGTGACGAGCGTAATGATTACGCCGGCCTGACGAGGTCTTGAGGTCGAACTGCGATCGATGGTCAGAAAGCGTCGAAACAGTCGCTTTTAATCGTGGGCGTCCAAGAAATGTCGAGTTCGTTCGGTCAGCTGAAGAACTCGATATCAAACATGACGTTGTTCGAGTCACATGCGAGAGCATGCGTCCGTATCCCATGAAAGTTAGCGAACTCCTTCAACGAAGTGACGAAATAAGGCGCGGAAGCATATCGGTAACGAATGTTGCTCGAAGATGAATGATGGAACACGCCGGAAGGGTCAGACGAAAAATTGCAGCACGGCTGCACTTCTCCTCCCCCTCCAAGGAGAAATGGCTCCCAACTTCCCAGGTAAAAAAACTCCAGGAAACTCAATGCTCCATGGTAGTCGAAATAATCCCACACTGCTGCATAACATTCTCATGCTCGGGTGCGAAGATGCCGTTGAAGAACCCCAACGAGGATACTCCAAAATCCACTCCAAACAGCTACTGCTCTCCCCTCCGCTCCATGTACCCAGAATACTCCGCAAAATTCGGTCGATATCGCTCATACCCCCGATGATAGCGGGTACTGCTCCAGCTGTAAGTCCATGATCCGCTCCAGCGAAAATGTCGGAACTCCATCGATACTTAACCAAGATTGCAACACTCCTTCACAGCTACCTGTAAGAACACTCGGGCGTCACGGCATCCTTTAGCAGCACCCCCACGGTTTCTCCACCAGGTGTACGCATGAACTGTTTTGGCCGTCGATCAGGGTCAATGCGCATCATATGTTGTCGGTCTCCGCCCAGCTGTTACCCAACTCTAGAAATTCTCCGGTATCCCTATCCACCTGGCCGTGCAGGTGTTCACCCATCTCGCGACTGCTGCAGGTTACCCCAAATCTGCTTCGCTGCTGCTTAACTAACTGAGAATCCACAGAGATAGGAGTGCGCACTCTTCTAGTCAGAGGAGCTTTAACGAGCTCGCCTACTGACCGTTGGACAGCTCCATCCTCCGTCGGAAACTCATCGAACTACACCGCAAAAGTCATAAACTCCTTCTGCTACACCAGGCGAAACCCTCAGCTCCGTTGCAATAGTTACGCCTTAAATTTCGAGGACACCCCATCAGCACAGTGTAGTTTGCAGGTTCACCCCCCCTTATTCAGCCAGCCGTCGATTAGTAAGTCAACACTGCTACCTGATGGAGATGGTGATATTCAGGCGTCATAGCTGAGCGAGCAGCAACCCGAACGCCGCTAACCCTTAACTTCTCCAGTACTCCCGTCGTTCTTCTTCCACTGCTTCAGTTCCTAGCAGGTAACGCTTTCGGCGACCGGTAGAAAAACACCTAATACACACCCAAGGGTGGTGGCCTCCGTTTCCGTTGATCATGGGGGTATGAATCGCTGATCCACGAAAATCGCCTCCCCACGCGGGAAGTCGCCCTCGCAGAGTACACTCACTCCAGCACAGTGTCATCACCTCCAGATGGCCGTCGTGGTGAATAGCGCCGAGGTTGTTAATCCCAGCTGCTCCCACACAACTGCACACCCACACGTCCTTGTGCGATCGTGTCGTTCCGAAATTGTCGGATCCGCCCATTGCCGAAAACAGTCTTTAAGTCCCATCCATCGCCTGCAACTCGCCTACCGCAAACGCCGATACCCGCGACATAGCTACAATTCACCCTGCAACTTGATGGCACGTCCCTCCATTGTCGCCATCCCGCACGCTCCCGACGACCAAATCCCGGCCGCCTGGGACTCCCGTGCATTTTTCTCCTCATGACGAAGCCTTCGCTTTTTTCGGAAGCCAATCCGAAGACTCTGTCCGAACACCCAGAAAATACGAAAGCTCTAACGAACATACCCAAAAAAACACGGCGAAAACGTCGCCCACTCTTCGACAGGAAATAATTCCGTCTACGACCAGGGAAGGGGAGGACCGGCTAATCCCAGCCGTCCATTGGATAGGATCTGACGGCATCGGCAACGCCCGCGAAATTAATCTCCGAGACGTCAGCTCACCATCAGCATCCTTCCGCCCCCTTCCCCGATAGGGTCTGCTCCCCTACCGGAAACCTAATGGGCAGGAACGCAGCTCTGATACCAACTGTTATGAATTATAACTCAGAGAATAACATAGAATACTATAAGGGGAACGTGATTACAGAGTTATGATAGAAATGAGGCCTACGCAATATATAGGGCGATTGACCAGGGTTGAATGTCGAGGGTTGGACCAGTCAACGGCTCAATAGTTCCGAGGGTGACGGGGTCAAAATGGGTTCGGGGCGACTCGAGATCAGGTTGGGGCCGACGAGGTCGGCGGGGGCTGGTTTGGCGCGTGACTTGAGGGCCGAGCCTGGGGACGCGAACTGTTTGCGTGTACTTGCTGTGGCGAGCCCCAGTAAGGAATTGTAATTCCTTACAAAGTGCTTGATGATAGCAAAGGGATACAATGTTCATATAACAATACAAGAGAATATGAAGAGTCTAACTGTTTTGCACTTCGAGGGGTACATTCCCATTTACGGCTCGATAAAGGCGACTTGGGTAACCACCCGTACTGTAATATCGAGACGGTTATTTTTCCTTACTGTCGCGCTGACTCTTGACTCTTGTGATTCTGACTGTTGGGTTGCACGGTCAACGATCTGTGACCATTGCCCTTTTAATAACCTCTGTGAGGTGTCGTCAAACTGCGTGAATCGTCAGGGTAACTGTAGCGGTGTTGACTCGGTTATCCTCGCTGTTGTAGTCTTTATGTATTTCGTATACTCACGCAAGACTCCGAAAATGCCTTAAGTCCTTTTATCATTTCCAACACCCTCCTTCATTTCTGGAGTGTCGATATGGTCGATGTCACTGACGTGTTGCAGTCCAATCAGCAGCATGCAGTACTGGAACTTGGCCTTCATCAGCTTCTTGGTCAAGTAGTCAGCTGCCATTTCGGTGGTGGGGCAGTAGACCAATTGGAGGCGGCCCTGCTCGATTTCGTCCTTGACGAAGTAGTCACGAAGCGAGATGTGCTTCTTCCCGTTCGCGAATCCTTTTTTTTTTACGATTCTGATTGCCGATTGGTTGTCGCAGCAGAGAGAGAAGGTCGGTAACTCGGGATTCTTCGCCTCTTCGAGCAGCTCGCACACAGTCCTTCCTTTGTAGCTACGCAGAGGGCGATTTATTTCTGCTTTCCCGAGTGCCAGGAGATATTTTTGATAGGTTCCAGGCGGTAGATAAAGCTGGTGCATGAACGGCGGTTGTCCTTATCGCTGGCGTGATCGGCGTCGACGTAGCCGATGAGTTCGGTTTTAGTCGCGGCGTTCTTGTGGTAGGTTAGTCTGATCGTCAGGGTCGAGACTAAGTAGTGGAGCGCGCGGTCGAGTTCCGCCAGATTCCCCCCTTCAGGTCGCTTAAGGTATGTAGCAAGCTGGCTAGCAGCGTAGGAGAGATCAGGACGGCAGGTGACGGCGGCGAACAGCAGACAGCCGAGCTCCTAAATCCCAGCCGGTGTGAGTAGTGAGGCGGTCAACGCGGGTGCTGGCAGCGCGTAGGTGTACGGAGTAGCGAGAGGTAGCGGGGACAGATCGAATCAGCGAGTGATGGTGTCGGCGTACTTCGATCGTGATTGTGAGCTGGAGTTCCAGCTCGCCTTCAAACTAGATCGTGATGGAAGTGGTGGAGCCAATGTAGAGCAGGTCGTCCACATAGATGATCAGCAGGACATAGTCGCCGCTGCGGGACGGGCAATACATGCCCTGGTCGTGCGGTAGCTGGGCGAAGCCCATGTCGGTGAGGATGCAGTGCAGGTACTGCTGCCACAGGCGCGGAGCCTGCTTGATCCCGTAGAGGGATTTGAGCAGTTGGCAGACCATCGTTGGGTCGTCGACCTAGGTGTGGGGCTGCTCCACGAAGATGTCGGCGTCGACTGGGGCGTAGAGGAAGGCGGTGGCAACGTCGATTTGGCGCAGGGGAAGGCGACGAGCGACGGCGAGGAGGATTCGAAGGGAAGCGTGGCGGCTGACAGGAGCAAACGGCTCCGTATAGTTGCTGCCGTACTGCTGTTCGAATCCGCGAATGACCCATCGTGCTTTGAAGCGAACAAGGGTTCCATCTCCCTTGGTTTTTACTCGGAACACCCATTTTCCCGACAGGATTGTTTTTCCCTTGGTTTGGGAGATCGGGATCAGCTTTGAAGGTGTTTCTTTCATGTAGCGCCGCTAATTCCCTGTCCATTGACTCCCTCATTTCTCCCTGTCTGGCCTTTGCAGCGCTCGCTTGACAGTCTTCGGCTCCTCAACTGGCGACGGTGACAGAGGATGCACCGCTGCTACCAGTCCGAGGATTTGAAGTCCAGTCTTGGTGTAGCGGGGGAGGGTTGGATCCTCGGGATAAGATGCTTCGTCGCCTACTTCAGGATTAGGTACGAAACCTGGTCCTACGCGTTCTGAGACATTTGTGTCGACGTTGTCGGGTGTTATGTAACCAATGTCGGCGAAGTGGTAGTAGGCTTCGGCATTCGCACTTTTGCGAGGGTTATCGTCGTCCATCTGCATGTCGATGAAGCAGTAGGGAACTGGTCCTGCAACTGCTGACGCATCAGGGATGTTCTGCTCCTCCAGGTCAGCTTCTTCTTCGGTCGAGGCGAACGCGCGTGCTCCAGCAAAGCCACCGGATGGGTCCCAATTGGCTGCGATAGTCTCCAGGTAATGATTGAACGTGAGGTTTTCGTAGAAAATCACGTCACGTGCCATAACGGTTTCCTTATCCTCGACGTCAAAGATTTTCCAGGCCTTGTAGTGTTTTTCCACACCGAGGTGTAGACCCCATCTTGCCCGCTGCGAAAATCGTCCAGCTCTTGCAGTGTGTGGACGGTACTGTACCATGCACCTGAACACTCATAACAATTTTGTGCTGCCTTGCTTCCCTGTCCACAGCAGATGTGGTGATGCGTTGTTTGGTAAGGAGCTTGACGACAGGAGATTCTGTAGCATGACGGCGTGAGTCATCGCCTCTGGCCACTGCGAGTTGGGTAGTCGCATCCCGGTCAATAACTTCCTCATGTTGTTCTGTAGGGTCCGATTCATCCTCTCTACTACGCCGTTTTTTTGGTGAGCGTAGGGAACGGTGATGAGCCTCTTAATTCCCCTTTCTGCGAGGTAGTCCTTGAATCATTGTGATTGATACTCCATCGCTCCATCGGACTGAAAGCTTTCTAGCTTCGTGTCTACCTCCCGTTCTGCTGCAGCAAGCCATGCGGCGAAGGCAGAGAAGGCGAGGTCGCGTAACGGTAGGTTAAGATGCCAATTGTATCTTGTCGCGGCATCGACAAAGGTGATTACGTAGTTGAGGTCGGCCCGGCCGACTTATCGCGGGATGTAGAGTATATCGCTGTAGATGTTCTCGAGTGGAGTGTACTCTGGTGCGCTGGGGTAATGATGTGATGGGAACGGCTGACGAGGAAGAACTGCTTCCGGGCAGATAAAGCAGGTACGTCGCGGTCGGCGAAGTTCTCAGATGGTACCAGAAGCCATTGCGGTCGAACCCGGGGTCAAGATCCGGCGGGTGCCTCCAGGGTGCGAAGGAGACGACGCCGTCGCTGTCGGCGGTCCCTCGGTCCAGAACGAAGTCCAAGACGAAGACTCCGTGCTTCTGAATGGCTCTGCTGATGAAGAGGCCGCCCTTCCCGTGGTGGAGTCGGAACTCTCGGTCGAAGCTGTCGCACTCCAGCTGAATTCCCTTTGACATTAGCTGGCTAACGCTTAAGAGGTTGTAACCGAGGTTGTCGACGACGAGTACTCGTGACATTTGTAATATCACGTTCGTCTCGCTTGATTGTAACTGAACAACTCCCTCCTTCCTTGTACACATGTTCTGGATGTTGGCGACAGTGATGACGACTTCACGGCTCAACATCTTCTCTTGCTGGACGAAGCGTGTTGAAGAACACATGTGCTGGCCACAGCAGCTATCAAGAAACCATGTGTTGTGGCCAGACAGTCGTTGTGAGCGATTGCAACGCAAGTCGGGTTCGGTTGGAGCCGGGTTTGTGTCGGAGCGGGAGGTTGTTCGTCGAGATCGTTGTGTGGTGGAGAGTCGGTACGCAGAAGTCCATTCGAGCCATACAACTGATGACATTCCTTGCGTCTTGTGTAGAGCGGTTCGTCGGAGCTGATCTGCTGAGTTGAAGCGACCGGATTCGGTGACGGACGTGGCGCTCGGGGTTGATACTGTGAGAACTGCAGCTGCTGCTGGATGGACGAGGATGGACTCCTCGTGTGGCTACGGGAAGAAGTGAAGCCCTTCCCGAGGCCTTCGTTCGGCCGGCGCGCGAAGTCGGCAATCCTGGTCTTTTACTGGTCATCTCACTGACCGCGTGATGGCTGAGCTGAGGGAGCAGGGAATCATTCCCGCCACCATCCCAAGCGGCTGCACAAGCCTCCTCCAGCCGCTGGACGTCTACAAGGCGCACGTGCGAGGGGACTACCAGGACTGGTTCGACGAGATTGGCGTCAACCTCACCACGCCGAAGGGTATGAACCTCTCGCTAACCCCTTCATCCCCTTCAACCGTCTGTAGGGCGAAACACCCTTGAGTAGGTGGGGCTAATAATCGAATAAGGTGCATAAGCCCCATGCGCTGAATAAAGGACTCAGGGTCCCATCCCCTGGGGGGGCGCATATCCGGGTGGATACGGTACGCCCTAAGCAGACATCACAATTCAGGGAAGGTCGACCATATTTCATGCAGTGCAACTCCTAGCATGGGAAGCAGCCGGATTAACATGACCCATGCACGCATGCCAATGACTCCATGCATGCATGCCAATTAACATTGAATAAACCACAAGGTGCTCGTTTGCCCAACATCTTCTTTGCTGCCAAATGGATCTAAGGTGTTAGTGACGGCAGCAGTCCGCCCTCAGCGGAAAGGAGGGGAGGCATGTAGATACGAAGTCAGGTGAGTGGCCAGGTCAGCGTAGGTGCCTTGCAGCTGGCGCAGCAAGCAGTGACACGCGGCAAGGAGCCGAGGAGGCCAGAGGCATGTGCTAGGGTATGAAGGCAGCGAAGCGGGCGTCTCTTGGCGTGTCAGGCACCTGCACAAATGGGAGGGTCAGGAGCTGCAGGCAGCGAGGAGGCAGAGCGCAGGAAGAGGGTGAGATATGGGTGGGTCAAGGTGCTTTTGAGGCGCCTCAAAAGAGGGTGAGATATGGGTGGGTCAAGGTGCTTTTGAGGCGCCTCAAAAGAGGGTGAGATATGGGTGGGTCAAGGTGCTTTTGAGGCGCCTCAAAAGAGGGTGAGATATGGGTGGGTCAAGGTGCTTTTGAGGCGCCTCAAAAGAGGGTGAGATATGGGTGGGTCAAGGTGCTTTTGAGGCGCCTCAAAAGAGGGTGAGATATGGGTGGGTCAAGGTGCTTTTGAGGCGCCTCAAAGAGGGTGAGATATGGGTGGGTCAAGGTGCTTTTGAGGCGCCTCAAAAGAGGGTGAGATATGGGTGGGTCAAGGTTCTTTTGAGGCGCCTCAAAAGAGGGTGAGATATGGGTGGGTCAAGGTGCTTTTGAGGCGCCTCAAAAGAGGGTGAGATATGGGTGGGTCAAGGTGCTTTTCAGGCGCCTCAAAAGAGGGTGAGATATGGGTGGGTCAAGGTTCTTTTGAGGCGCCTCAAAAGAGGGTGAGATATGGGTGGGTCAAGGTGCTTTTGAGGCGCCTCAAAAGAGGGTGAGATATGGGTGGGTCAAGGTGCTTTGAGGCGCCTCAAAAGAGGGTGAGATATGGGTGGGTCAAGGTGCTTTTGAGGCGCCTCAAAAGAGGGTGAGATATGGGTGGGTCAAGGTGCTTTTCAGGCGCCTCAAAAGAGGGTGAGATATGGGTGGGTCAAGGTGCTTTTCAGGCGCCTCAAAAGAGGGTGGGATATGGGTGGGTCAAGGTGCTTTTGAGGCGCCTCAAAAGAGGGTGAGATATGGGTGGGTCAAGGTGCTTTTCAGGCGCCTCAAAAGAGGGTGAGATATGGGTGGGTCAAGGTGCTTTTCAGGCGCCTCAAAAGAGGGTGAGATATGGGTGGGTCAAGGTGCTTTTCAGGCGCCTCAAAAGAGGGTGAGATATGGGTGGGTCAAGGTGCTTTTCAGGCGCCTCAAAAGAGGGTGAGATATGGGTGGGTCAAGGTGCTTTTCAGGCGCCTCAAAAGAGGGTGAGATATGGGTGGATCAAGGTGCTTTTGAGGCGCCTCAAAAGAGGGTGAGATATGGGTGGGTCAAGGTGCTTTTCAGGCGCCTCAAAAGAGGGTGAGATATGGGTGGGTCAAGGTGCTTTTCAGGCGCCTCAAAAGAGGGTGAGATATGGGTGGGTCAAGGTGCTTTTCAGGCGCCTCAAAAGAGGGTGAGATATGGGTGGGTCAAGGTGCTTTTCAGGCGCCTCAAAAGAGGGTGAGATATGGGTGGGTCAAGGTGCTTTTGAGGCGCCTCAAAAGAGGGTGAGATATGGGTGGATCAAGGTGCTTTTGAGGCGCCTCAAAAGAGGGTGAGATATGGGTGGATCAAGGTGCTTTTCAGGCGCCTCAAAAGAGGGTGAGATATGGGTGGGTCAAGGTGCTTTTCAGGCGCCTCAAAAGAGGGTGAGATATGGGTGGGTCAAGGTGCTTTTCAGGCGCCTCAAAAGAGGGTGGGATATGGGTGGGTCAAGGTGCTTTTGAGGCGCCTCAAAAGAGGGTGAGATATGGGTGGGTCAAGGTGCTTTTCAGGCGCCTCAAAAGAGGGTGAGATATGGGTGGGTCAAGGTGCTTTTCAGGCGCCTCAAAAGAGGGTGAGATATGGGTGGGTCAAGGTGCTTTTCAGGCGCCTCAAAGAGGGTGAGATATGGGTGGGTCAAGGTGCTTTTGAGGCGCCTCAAAAGAGGGTGAGATATGGGTGGATCAAGGTGCTTTTCAGGCGCCTCAAAAGAGGGTGAGATATGGGTGGGTCAAGGTGCTTTTCAGGCGCCTCAAAAGAGGGTGAGATATGGGTGGGTCAAGGTGCTTTTCAGGCGCCTCAAAAGAGGGTGAGATATGGGTGGGTCAAGGTGCTTTTCAGGCGCCTCAAAAGAGGGTGAGATATGGGTGGGTCAAGGTGCTTTTGAGGTGCCTCAAAAGAGGGTGAGATATGGGTGGATCAAGGTGCTTTTGAGGCGCCTCAAAAGAGGGTGAGATATGGGTGGGTCAAGGTGCTTTTCAGGCGCCTCAAAAGAGGGTGAGATATGGGTGGGTCAAGGTGCTTTTCAGGCGCCTCAAAAGAGGGTGAGATATGGGTGGGTCAAGGTGCTTTTCAGGCGCCTCAAAAGAGGGTGAGATATGGGTGGGTCAAGGTGCTTTTGAGGCGCCTCAAAAGAGGGTGAGATATGGGTGGGTCAAGGTGCTTTTGAGGCGCCTCAAAAGAGGGTGAGATATGGGTGGGTCAAGGTGCTTTTCAGGCGCCTCAAAAGAGGGTGAGATATGGGTGGGTCAAGGTGCTTTTCAGGCGCCTCAAAAGAGGGTGAGATATGGGTGGGTCAAGGTGCTTTTCAGGCGCCTCAAAAGAGGGTGAGATATGGGTGGGTCAAGGTGCTTTTCAGGCGCCTCAAAAGAGGGTGAGATATGGGTGGGTCAAGGTGCTTTTGAGGCGCCTCAAAAGAGGGTGAGATATGGGTGGATCAAGGTGCTTTTGAGGCGCCTCAAAAGAGGGTGAGATATGGGTGGATCAAGGTGCTTTTCAGGCGCCTCAAAAGAGGGTGAGATATGGGTGGGTCAAGGTGCTTTTCAGGCGCCTCAAAAGAGGGTGAGATATGGGTGGGTCAAGGTGCTTTTCAGGCGCCTCAAAAGAGGGTGAGATATGGGTGGGTCAAGGTGCTTTTCAGGCGCCTCAAAAGAGGGTGAGATATGGGTGGGTCAAGGTGCTTTTGAGGCGCCTCAAAAGAGGGTGAGATATGGGTGGGTCAAGGTGCTTTTGAGGCGCCTCAAAAGAGGGTGAGATATGGGTGGGTCAAGGGTGCTCTTTTCAGGCGCCTCAAAAGAGGGTGAGATATGGGTGGGTCAAGGTGCTTTGAGGCGCCTCAAAAGAGGGTGAGATATGGGTGGGTCAAGGTGCTTTTCAGGCGCCTCAAAAGAGGGTGAGATATGGGTGGGTCAAGGTGCTTTTGAGGCGCCTCAAAAGAGGGTGAGATATGGGTGGATCAAGGTGCTTTTGAGGCGCCTCAAAAGAGGGTGAGATATGGGTGGGTCAAGGTGCTTTTCAGGCGCCTCAAAAGAGGGTGAGATATGGGTGGATCAAGGTGCTTTTGAGGCGCCTCAAAAGAGGGTGAGATATGGGTGGGTCAAGGTGCTTTTCAGGCGCCTCAAAAGAGGGTGAGATATGGGTGGGTCAAGGTGCTTTTGAGGTGCCTCAAAAGAGGGTGAGATATGGGTGGATCAAGGTGCTTTTGAGGCGCCTCAAAAGAGGGTGAGATATGGGTGGGTCAAGGTGCTTTTCAGGCGCCTCAAAAGAGGGTGAGATATGGGTGGGTCAAGGTGCTTTTCAGGCGCCTCAAAAGAGGGTGAGATATGGGTGGGTCAAGGTGCTTTTTCAGGCGCCTCAAAAGAGGGTGAGATATGGGTGGGTCAAGGTGCTTTTGAGGCGCCTCAAAAGAGGGTGAGATATGGGTGGATCAAGGTGCTTTTGAGGCGCCTCAAAAGAGGGTGAGATATGGGTGGATCAAGGTGCTTTTCAGGCGCCTCAAAAGAGGGTGAGATATGGGTGGGTCAAGGTGCTTTTCAGGCGCCTCAAAAGAGGGTGAGATATGGGTGGGTCAAGGTGCTTTTTCAGGCGCCTCAAAAGAGGGTGAGATATGGGTGGGTCAAGGTGCTTTTCAGGCGCCTCAAAAGAGGGTGAGATATGGGTGGGTCAAGGTGCTTTTGAGGCGCCTCAAAAGAGGGTGAGATATGGGTGGGTCAAGGTGCTTTTGAGGCGCCTCAAAAGAGGGTGAGATATGGGTGGGTCAAGGTGCTTTTCAGGCGCCTCAAAAGAGGGTGAGATATGGGTGGGTCAAGGTGCTTTGAGGCGCCTCAAAAGAGGGTGAGATATGGGTGGGTCAAGGTGCTTTTCAGGCGCCTCAAAAGAGGGTGAGATATGGGTGGGTCAAGGTGCTTTTGAGGCGCCTCAAAAGAGGGTGAGATATGGGTGGATCAAGGTGCTTTTGAGGCGCCTCAAAAGAGGGTGAGATATGGGTGGGTCAAGGTGCTTTTCAGGCGCCTCAAAAGAGGGTGAGATATGGGTGGATCAAGGTGCTTTTGAGGCGCCTCAAAAGAGGGTGAGATATGGGTGGGTCAAGGTGCTTTTCAGGCGCCTCAAAAGAGGGTGAGATATGGGTGGGTCAAGGTGCTTTTCAGGCGCCTCAAAAGAGGGTGAGATATGGGTGGGTCAAGGTGCTTTTCAGGCGCCTCAAAAGAGGGTGAGATATGGGTGGGTCAAGGTGCTTTTCAGGCGCCTCAAAAGAGGGTGAGATATGGGTGGGTCAAGGTGCTTTTGAGGCGCCTCAAAAGAGGGTGAGATATGGGTGGATCAAGGTGCTTTTGAGGCGCCTCAAAAGAGGGTGAGATATGGGTGGATCAAGGTGCTTTTCAGGCGCCTCAAAAGAGGGTGAGATATGGGTGGGTCAAGGTGCTTTTCAGGCGCCTCAAAAGAGGGTGAGATATGGGTGGGTCAAGGTGCTTTTGAGGCGCCTCAAAAGAGGGTGGGATATGGGTGGGTCAAGGTGCTTTTGAGGCGCCTCAAAAGAGGGTGAGATATGGGTGGGTCAAGGTGCTTTTCAGGCGCCTCAAAAGAGGGTGAGATATGGGTGGGTCAAGGTGCTTTTCAGGCGCCTCAAAAGAGGGTGAGATATGGGTGGGTCAAGGTGCTTTTTCAGGCGCCTCAAAAGAGGGTGAGATATGGGTGGGTCAAGGTGCTTTTGAGGCGCCTCAAAAGAGGGTGAGATATGGGTGGGTCAAGGTGCTTTTGAGGCGCCTCAAAAGAGGGTGAGATATGGGTGGGTCAAGGTGCTTTTCAGGCGCCTCAAAAGAGGGTGAGATATGGGTGGGTCAAGGTGCTTTTCAGGCGCCTCAAAAGAGGGTGAGATATGGGTGGGTCAAGGTGCTTTTCAGGCGCCTCAAAAGAGGGTGAGATATGGGTGGGTCAAGGTGCTTTTCAGGCGCCTCAAAGAGGGTGAGATATGGGTGGGTCAAGGTGCTTTTGAGGCGCCTCAAAAGAGGGTGAGATATGGGTGGATCAAGGTGCTTTTCAGGCGCCTCAAAAGAGGGTGAGATATGGGTGGATCAAGGTGCTTTTCAGGCGCCTCAAAAGAGGGTGAGATATGGGTGGGTCAAGGTGCTTTTGAGGCGCCTTAAAAGAGGGTGAGATATGGGTGGGTCAAGGTGCTTTTCAGGCGCCTCAAAAGAGGGTGGGATATGGGTGGGTCAAGGTGCTTTTGAGGCGCCTCAAAAGAGGGTGAGATATGGGTGGGTCAAGGTGCTTTTCAGGCGCCTCAAAAGAGGGTGAGATATGGGTGGGTCAAGGTGCTTTTCAGGCGCCTCAAAAGAGGGTGAGATATGGGTGGGTCAAGGTGCTTTTCAGGCGCCTCAAAAGAGGGTGAGATATGGGTGGGTCAAGGTGCTTTTCAGGCGCCTCAAAAGAGGGTGAGATATGGGTGGGTCAAGGTGCTTTTGAGGCGCCTCAAAAGAGGGGTGAGATATGGGTGGGTCAAGGTGCTTTTGAGGCGCCTCAAAAGAGGGTGAGATATGGGTGGGTCAAGGTGCTTTGAGGCGCCTCAAAAGAGGGTGAGATATGGGTGGGTCAAGGTGCTTTTCAGGCGCCTCAAAAGAGGGTGAGATATGGGTGGGTCAAGGTGCTTTTGAGGCGCCTCAAAAAGAGGGTGAGATATGGGTGGATCAAGGTGCTTTTGAGGCGCCTCAAAAGAGGGTGAGATATGGGTGGGTCAAGGTGCTTTTCAGGCGCCTCAAAAGAGGGTGAGATATGGGTGGGTCAAGGTGCTTTTGAGGCGCCTCAAAAGAGGGTGAGATATGGGTGGATCAAGGTGCTTTTGAGGCGCCTCAAAAGAGGGTGAGATATGGGTGGGTCAAGGTGCTTTGAGGCGCCTCAAAAGAGGGTGAGATATGGGTGGATCAAGGTGCTTTTGAGGCGCCTCAAAAGAGGGTGAGATATGGGTGGGTCAAGGTGCTTTTCAGGCGCCTCAAAAGAGGGTGAGATATGGGTGGGTCAAGGTGCTTTTCAGGCGCCTCAAAAGAGGGTGAGATATGGGTGGGTCAAGGTGCTTTTGAGGCGCCTCAAAAGAGGGTGAGATATGGGTGGGTCAAGGTGCTTTTCAGGCGCCTCAAAAGAGGGTGAGATATGGGTGGGTCAAGGTGCTTTTGAGGCGCCTCAAAAGAGGGTGAGATATGGGTGGGTCAAGGTGCTTTTGAGGCGCCTCAAAAGAGGGTGAGATATGGGTGGGTCAAGGTGCTTTTGAGGCGCCTCAAAAGAGGGTGAGATATGGGGTGGGTCAAGGTGCTTTTCAGGCGCCTCAAAAGAGGGTGAGATATGGGTGGGTCAAGGTGCTTTGAGGCGCCTCAAAAGAGGGTGAGATATGGGTGGGTCAAGGTGCTTTTCAGGCGCCTCAAAAGCGGGTGAGATATGGGTTGTGGGTCTGTGTGGTTCTGTGTGGGTCTGTGTGGTCTGTGTGGTCTGTGTGGTCTGTGTGGTCTGTGTGGTCTGTGTGGTCTGTGTGGTCTGTGTGGTCTGTGTGGTCTGTGTGGTCTGTGTGGTCTGTGTGGTCTGTGTGGTCTGTGTGGTCTGTGTGGTCTGTGTGGTCTGTGTGGTCTGTGTGGTCTGTGTGGTCTGTGTGGTCTGTGTGGTCTGTGTGGTCTGTGTGGTCTGTGTGGTCTGTGTGGTCTGTGTGGTCTGTGTGGTCTGTGTGGTCTGTGTGGTCTGTGTGGTCTGTGTGTGGTCTGTGTGGTCTGTGTGGTTGTGTGGTCTGTGTGGTCTGTGTGGTCTGTGTGGTCTGTGTGGTCTGTGTGGTCTGTGTGGTCTGTGTGGTCTGTGTGGTCTGTGTGGTCTGTGTGGCCTGTGCGTTATCCACTCCAACCACTACCCCACTCTCGGTTCATGTCCTTTCCTGGTGGATGTTGATGAGCCTGTGGCATGGAGGCATGGGTAGCGCCGGTTCCATGCGAGCAAGCAGCACGCAGAGAGACGTGTGGAGTGAAGGTGCGGGTTGGCAAGCACAGGCGCTGTAGTTGTGCTTGTGAGGAGCACGAGGCATGCAGTGACCAAATGCTGTTGCCGGCTCATAACACGGAGGCGTGCAGCACAAGGGAACAAAGGGCCAGAGGCGGCGCATGGATATGTGAGAGCCGTGACAACGGGCAAAGGGAAGCACTGCTGCCAGCACGCGGGTGGCTCACATCGGAGGCGGAGGGGCGCTGGTTGGGGTCGAGCTGGAAGCAGGCGGTGAGGAAGTCCCTGGCCTCCTCCGACGCGGCCTCGGGGATGGGTGGCCCCGTGGTGGTCTTGGCGATGTGGAAGATGGCGCTCCACGTGTTGTCCATGCCCGGCACGGGTGCCTGGGGGGGGGAGGCGGGCGCAGGAGCAAGGGAGGCTTGAGGGACGATGCCCTGCCACGGGTGCCTGCCACTGCCAAGCGGCACAGGGGAGTGAAGGGCGAACATGAGTCAAGAAGAGGGGAGGCGTAGGATGAGAAGAAGACAAGAAAGAATGGCACCAGTGAGGCTGGACGAGCATGCACTCTAAGGTGGGCTCAGGTTTCCTCTGCACATGACTTTTACCAGTCACCATACTCCGCTCACCAGTCACCATACTCCGCTCACCAGTCACCATACTCCACTCACCAGTCACCATACTCCACTCACCAGTCACCATACTCCACTCACCAGTCACCATACTCCACTCACCAGTCACCATACTCCACTCACCAGTCACCATACTCCACTCACCAGTCACCATACTCCACTCACCAGTCACCATACTCCACTCACCAGTCACCATACTCCACTCACCAGTCACCATACTCCACTCACCCTCGTCAGTCGTAATTCCAACCATGCTCCACGCTCTAACGTCTCAAGATTCAAAACCGTTCTTGTTAGCTTCTCAATGACTCACCGCCCTCTGAGCATCTCGATGACTCACCGCCCTGTCAGCATGTCGATGACTCACCACCCTGTCAGCATCTCGATGACTCACCACCTGTCAGCATCTCGATGACTCACCGCCCTGTCAGCATCTCGATGACTCACCGCCCTGTCAGCATCTCGATGACTCACCGCCCTGTCAGCATCTCGATGACTCACCACCCCTGTCAGCATCTCGATGACTCACCGCCCTGTCAGCATCTCGATGACGCCCTGTCAGCATCTCGATGACTCACCACCCTGTCAGCATCTCGATGACTCACCGCCCTGTCAGCATCTCGATGACTCACCGCCCTGTCAGCATCTGATGACTCACCGCCCTGTCAGCATCTCGATGACTCACCGCCCTGTCAGCATCTCGATGACTCACCGCCCTGTCAGCATCTCGATGACGGTGCACCCAACGCTCCAGATGTCGGCGCGCCTGCCGTAGCCCTCGCCCTTGATGACCTCGGGCGCCATCCAGAACACCGACCCACGGATGCTCTTGCACCCCTCGCCCACCGTGCCCTCGTGGAAGCTCTGCCCACGGAACGGGTTGACGGGGGGGATTGCGGGGGTGATTCACAAGAAGGCTCTGTGTCTCCATGTCTCCAGATGCGGCCCCCTCCATTCCGAATCCCTGAGAGAAGGACTCAAGTAAGAAATTAAGTTACGTAGTGTGGAACATGTTGGACACAAGGTCAAGACACGAGCAAGAATCTGCACACGTTGGGCCATTCTGATGGTCCGTGCCAAGTCACCCAACTTTTCCCCACGCCTACATGAATGACCCCAAGCAATCTTGCCTGTCCTAACCTTCGCGTCCAACCATGATGCGCCCTCCATCCCACCTCGCCTCCATGTTAAGATAGCGTTGAACTCTCAGCTCTCAGCTCTCAGTGGTGCCTTTCGCCCTTCTCCTTACGCCCCCACACTGCCTTTTCCCCTTCTTGAGCCCCGCCCTGCCTTTCCCCCTTCTTGAGCTCCACCTTGCCTTTCCTTCCCCCAACGCACCTTGGAGGCGCCGAAGTCGGCGAGCTTGACTCACCTTGGAGGCGCCGAAGTCGGCGAGCTTGACGACGCCGTCGCGGTCGACGAGGACGTTGCCGCCCTTTATGTCGCGGTGCACGATGCGGCACGCGTGCAAATACTCCAGCCCCAGCAGCAGCTGCCGCGTGTACACGCGCACCAGCGACTCGCTGAACGCCCCAAACTTCTCCAACATGCTGGGGGGAAGGGGGGGTGGGGAGGGGGAGGGGTTGGGGGTTGGACAGAAGAAAAAATGTGTAGAACAAGGGGATGATTAAAAGGTGCAAAATGTTTCTTCTACAGGCCGGAGTACCACAGCCAGGTGAGTAGAGCGATACAAATGGGATGAGCGATGGGAGGCAGGCAGGGCAAGCGGAGCAAATGGGAAGAGGAACATTTCGAGGGGACAAGATTGCGCAATGTGTGCCGCAACACATCTGTTAAGACCTCGTGCGAGACAACCGGAAACAGTTTGGAAATATTTTCTCCCTCCCATTGAAATCGCTTGAGGACTTCATTCCAGCCACCTGCGTTCCTCTCCAGCTCGTCCCTTATCTGTAATAGGGCCTCACGCCCCCTCTCTTGTGGATGCAGCCTCACCTGTGGATGCAGCCTCACCTGTGGATGCAGCCTCTCCTGTGGATGCAGCCTCCCCTGTGGATGCAGCCTCACCTGTGGATGCAGCCTCACCTGTGGATGCATCCTCACCTGTGGATGCAGCCTCACCTGTGGATGCAGCCTCACCTGTGGATGCAGCCTCACCTGTGGATGCAGCCTCATTTGTGGATGCAGCCTCACCTGTGGATGCAGCCTCACCTGTGGATGCAGCCTCACCTGTGGATGGAGCCGCCTGAGACGAATTCGAGGAAGATGTAGATGGAGCCGTCCTTGGCGTCCTTCTCCATGTCGATGTACCCCACGATGTGCTTGTGGCGCATCTGCTTGTACAGCACGATCTCACGCTCCAACGCCGCGATCAGCATGGCCTTCTCATCGCCCGCGCTGGTGAGCTTGATCTCCTTCACCGCCATCAACTCGCCCGTCATCTCGTTCAGCCCCAGGAACACCTGCCACCACACATGCACGCACACGTGCACGCACACATGCATGCGCACATGCACGCGCACATGCATGCACACATGCATGCACACATGCACGCTCACATGCGCGCACACATGCAAGCACACATGCGTGCACACATGCACGCACACATGCGTGCACACATGCACGCACACATGCGCGCACACATGCATGCACACATGCAGGCACACATGGATGCACACATGCATGCACACATGCGTGCACACATGCGTGCATACATGCACCCACACATATACGCACCATGCAGGCACACATGCATGCACACATGCACGCACACATGCATGCACACATCCACGCACACATGCACCCACACATGCACGCACACATGCACGCACACATGCATGCACACATGCATGCACACATGCATGCACACATGCACGCAGCAAGGGGGGAAAGAGGGAGAAACACATTCAGAGCCACAGTGTTTTCCAGAGGGGAAGGTGGAGGCAGAGGTAGCATGACGCTCAACCTCCACCACCTCCCATGGAGTCTCCTGTGTCGGTTCCGTGGACCTTCCCGTTGAGAGAAACAGGCAGCTCCTCTTACACTCAGCATCAGGCTCCCCACCACGCGCAACTCCTGGAGTCCCACCCACATGCACGCGAGTCGCCTCTGCACGTGGCGTCAACCTCCGCCACGTACTGCTGCTGGCGCCATCAAGGGGAACATGAGGGTGAGGGTGAGTCAGCTGGTACATACTCGTTGGACAGGTTATCATCCATCCGTCCCAAGACAGCTAGGTAAGCCATGCACTTAAGCTGTGTCCTGTCAAGGAGTGTGTTGCCACTACCTTTCAACCCAGACCGTTGTGACCAGACATGGTTAAATCGCATCGCATCGCGATATATCGCATTTTGTGATAGCGATTTATCTTTATTTTTTAAGAATATCACGGCGATGCGATGCGATAATATCGCGCGATATTTGCGATATCGCGTTTTTATCGCTCTATTCTTTGCGCGATAAAATGTGATAAGCGATAAAAAGATATCGCGCGCGATACTTTCGAGTTTCGCGTCGCGGAATTTCGCCAGCAAGGGGAGGGACATGGGCGAGGGCCCTGAACTTAGCGAAAATAGATGGTAAGCTAGTCTAGGTTTCTCTTGCTGAATGGCGCGCGGAAATGGCAAGCGGCAGTTTGGGGGGAGGAGTTTGTGTGAGGAGCAGAGATTGGAGCACATTAGAGGAATGGTTGGAGATTCTAGATGGGAAGGAGTGCAGTGTGGTTGAGGGAGGGGAGTTTGGTGGGGGTTCAAATTTGTTATGGTTGGTGGTGGTGGGTGGTGGGCGAGTGGGTTTTCTGGATGGGATGTGGTGGTGTGCGGTTGAAGGGATTTAGGGGGTTGGACTGAAATCTCGACCCCCAAAGTCAATTGGTTGGAACTCCAACCAATTTCCACCACTTCAACCGCACTAAACTCCCCTAGGGTTGAGCAAACTACCCGCCCGGGTCGGGTACCCGGTACCCGGACCCGCTTTTAGGGCGGGTCGGGTATCGGAAATCCTGAAAATTACCCGGCGGGTCGGGTCCGGGTTACCCGGGCCGGGTATCAATACCCGCTACCCGAAATGCTACCCGACGTGTCGGGTAACGGGTACCCGACCCGGTCGGGTAAAAAATTACCCGAGGTCGGGTATTCCACCTAGACATGGGCGTAAGTCGCGCTGTGTTTTAGGTTTTGCGGCAAAAACGGTTTTGGAGGTGAGGGGGGACGAGTGGAGCATTTGTGAGGAGAAGTTGGAGTTTGTAGATTGGGAGGAGTTAAGTGCGGTGAAAGGGAGGGAGTTGGGTGGGAGTTGGAGAAGAGGTTGGAGTTTGTAGATGGGTAGGAGTTCAGTGCGGTGAAAGGGAGGGAGTTTTGTTGGAAATGTTGGAGCTTGTAGACAGGGAGGAGTTCAGTGCGGTGAAAGGGAGGGAGTTTGGTTGGAAATTGGAGTTTGTAGACGGGGAGGAGTTCAGTGCGATGAAAGGGAGGGAGTTTGGTTGGAAATTGGAGTTTGTAGACGGGGAGGAGTTCAGTGCGGTGAAGGGGAGGGAGTTGGGTGGTCAAAATTCGACCCCCAGAAAACGCGACTCTCATTTGAGAGTCGCGTTTTCAGGAACCCTACCTAGCCTAGCCCAACTTAAGGATGTCCACTAGTAGGTGGCGGGTAGTATTACCCGTTTTTCAGGGTAACCGGGTCGGGTATACCCGGACCCGCCAGGCGGGTATTGTATTACCCGCCCCCTAAGGCCGGGTCCGGGTAAGGGTCCTGGGCATATTACCCGACCCGGACCCGACCCGAAATTACCCGACTCGAGGTCAGGTATTGCAAAATCGGGTCGGGTCGGGTAAATACCCGGTTTTGCTCAAGCCTAAACTCCCCTGCATCTACAGAATCCAAACCCTTCCCCTCAAAAACGCTCCACATGAGAGAGGGACCACGATATTCCCATCTCCCGTCAATTCACTTACCTAATTCCGCGTGAACCTAGGAGAACCACCATTGTCGTGCCCTGTGGTGTGGGAACACGTTCTTTAGGGTGGGAAAACAGTGGCCCCTAAATGCGATGCGATATTATATCGCATCGCGCGATGCATCGCTTTTTTTAGGCGATACATTTAAATATCGCCCCCTAAAATGCGATATGCGATTTAGGTTTTTTTTTTTTAACATATCGCAGCGATGGGATATCGCATCGCTGCGATATAATGCGCGATAAGAAAGAATGCGATGCGATATCGCATCGCATCGCGTTTTGACCATGTCTAGTTGTGACATTAGCATAGCTTTCGTAGGCGAAAAATTGACCTTTTCTTTTCCATAACACTTCATCGGATGGTCGTAGTGTTTCAGCAAACTCTTTAGTCCTTCTGAGAATTGCCTTCTCCACTTCCCGAAACATGTTCAACTTTCCGCATTTTCTGCGTGTTCTAGAGACACCGCATAAGTCTATTGCGCCGTATTCTGGACAACTAATCTTTAAAAGCTCACACAACAGCTGACAAATAATCTTTAAAAGCTCACACAACTAGACATGAGCAAATTAAATCCCATCGCATCGCATATAATCGCGATTTTGCGATTGCGATTTTTTTTTAATGAATTCATCGCGCGATTCGATGGTTTATTTATCGCGCGATTAAAATTAAATCAAGTTTATATCGCGCTGGAAAACGCGATTTAAACGCGATTTCCGATTTTATTTAAATAGCGCGCGATGTCGGAATGCATTGCAGCGCGAAATCTCACCAGCATATGGTGAAAAATCGCAAAGCCCAAAAGCGCATTTCTGAGAATCTCTTTCGCAGAATCTCCTTGGGAATACGTTTTTGGCCTTTGCACACGCTCCCATGTAGACATGAGCAAAACCGGGTAATTACCCGACCCGACCCGGTTTTGCCCTACCCGCAATCGGGACCGGGTCGGGTCAGGCCAGGTAATTTCCGGGTAATGTTTGGAGGTCTGTTACCCGACCCGACATTTTAATACCGGGTAATTGGGTACCCGTCTGGGGGGTCGGGTATACCCGGCCCGCATATAATTGAAGTCGGGTAATATTACCCGGGTACCCCTAGGTGGCTGTAAAATTCAGCAAACCCCGAGTAACAAACCCAAAGTCGGGTCGGGTACCCGCGACCCGACGGGTAATAAATTACCCGACATTTCGGGTAATTCTCGGGTAACGGGTATGCATTACCCGGCCCGAGTACCCGACCCGACCCGGCCGGGTAATTCGTCAAATCCTATTACCCGACCCAGCCAAAATGTCGGGTCGGGTCGGGTACCTGCGACCCGATCGGGTAAAATGCTCAAGTCTACTCCCCCCATGCACTCCTAAACTCACCGTTCTTAATTGTTTTTGGTGGTTGAAATTAGTAGACGGAGTAGATTGAGCGCCGCATTAGCTTTTAGTCGAGCTACGCCTTTCGCGCATGCATTTGGCGCATCGGCGGCGTCGCAAGGGTTTTTGCCGTGCGCTAGCTGGATTCTCACCACGACGCACGTGCATTGCCGCTTATTGAATTGCGTAACTTAATTAGCCGCACGCTGCAGGGTAGGGTTGATCAAACTACCCGCCCGGGTCGGGTACCCGATACCCGGACCCGCTTTTAGGGCGGGTCGGGTATCGGAAATCCTGTAAAATACCCGACGGGTCGAGTCCGGGTTACCCGGGCGGGTATTCGATACCCGCTACCCGAAATGCTACCCGACGGCGCGGGTAGCGGGTACCCACCGGGTCGGGTATTAAATACCCGAGTTAGGGTAAAGACCCGAAATCGGGTCGGGGAAATCAGGTCGCGCTGCTACCCGTCGGCAGCACCGCGATCAAAATTGGGGAGGGTTGGAAATTTCGACCATTTGGTCGAAATTTCTTGCCCAACTTTCGAGATCTGGTTTCGTTTTGTCCCTACCGTAGTCGCGCCACCTAACAACAACACCCGCTTCCGTCAAAAAGCTTCCCGCACCATAAATCGTTTTGTTCCGACATTAGGTAGGGCGGTTTTACACTACGGAGGAGAGGAGTTGGCTGCGCTTGTGGTTTAGGGTTTTGGAGATCTAGGGTTACACGACCTATTCGCCCCCTCGCACTCCCCATTATAGCGCCGACATTAGGGTTTCGGGTTGTCCCATCATGCAGTTCTACGACCGTGACGGGCGTCCCGTCCCTTTCGAGGGCGGGAGGGTTGAGGGTAGCGGGCTCCAGAGCGGAGCCATGCCTGGAGCATCTCTGACAGGCCTCCCTCAAGTGGTCCGTGTATTCATGGTCAAGCAGGGTACAGCAGAGCAGGTATAGTAGGACAAGGAGCATGCAAGGGGGGCGTTCCTATTGAAATGTGACCCCTACTCCCCAAGATCCCCCCCCCCTACTCCCCCTCTAGCGTTTGGAGGAGGTCCCCTAGGTGAAGCGGCCATGGATCTGCTGGGGCTTGAGGGTGTGCAGCCTCGATGCCCGCACCATGCCATGCCATGCCATGCCATG